GGAGAGCGGCTGATACTGACCGGGCTGAAACAAGGTAGCAACAGTTTGAGACCCTAGAGTAAACATGAGCACAGTATTGCTACAAACTGATAGTTCAAACTGTGGTGGCTTCTAGGGAGGGGAGAAAAAGTTCAGAATTGTCTCGCTAAATCCAAATCCAGACTGTGCTGCTTTCTCAAAGCGGGGTGTGCTTTAGGTCTCAAGAAAGCAATCAAATGTTGATATAGGGAAACAGAGTCTGCCTACAAAGAACATACAAGAAGTTATGTTAGAGGCAGGTTGTCCATCGTGACCATTTTCACGGCAATGAGAAGAAACAGAAGCAGAATACCTGGGCCGGCAGGCTGGCTCAGAGGGTGGAGGCACCTGCCAGCAAGCTTAACTCCCTGAGTTAACTCCCCCCACCCACCCTCTCCTTCAGAACCCATATAGTTGAATGACAGAACTATGTCCTACAAGTAGCCCTCTGGCCCCCAACAATGACTGCTGTCTCATGCTCTGTCTCTGTCTCTCTCTCACACACACATACAAGCACATTTGAACAGTGGTAGGCCACCTGCAGGGAGGATAAAGAAATGGATCCAAAATGGAAGATTTGTTTTTTTAACAATCAGATTTAGAGTTGGTAAGGACTTTCCTGAGCTGTTTCAGCCTCTGCTTTTAGCATGAGAAGTAAAAAAGTTAGAGTCAGCCGAAGTTACCCCCTAGAGTGGGTACCGCCTTTCCTTTGGAGGTGAAGAACCACCCATAGGAAATGGGAAGAGTATGGGGTTCTAGTTATCATACAGGCCCCTGACGGACCCAAGGTCAGGGGCAGGCAGAGGACAAGTGGTAGGAGTCAACAGAAGGACCTAGAAGGCCAGGAGGGAGAGCGATGCCCTAAGAGCCTGTTGGGAAGGCAACTTGGAGGAGAGGGGTTGGTTATGTGGAGAGGTAAAAGGAAGCCCAAGAGGGCACAGGACGGCAGGATGGCTGACTCACTTTCTCAGGGACTGATGGCTAGTGACCTCAGCAAAGGCAGTTGGTGTGGAACGGCTACAGTGGCAGGCCAACCTGGTTTACACAATGGATGAGCAAAGAAACTTAAGACAGGAGACACAGTGTCCGCATTCATTAGACTTGAGAAAAGGCAAGGACTGAGATGCGGACACAGGCAGCTGGACTTGGGGAAAGGCGATGGGAACAGGTGCTACAGTTATGGAAACTACCTTGACGGCTCACAAAGGAAACGGAGGGCGCACCTCAAAGTCGTGGAGGGTTCGGTTCACTCCGATGCGGTGAAGATGGACATGAATGGGCATCCACAGACTTGAGTACTTACTTCTTCCCTGGGCTTCACCTATACGGCTACATTATTGTATGTGTAGTAAGCGCGCGCAGTTTATCATGTGTGGCGTGGGTAGTACCTGCAGAGGCTCCAGCAGTCACTGGGTGTCCTGTTTATTCTCTCTATAATTTCCCTGAGAAAGGTTCAGTGAGCTGGATCTAGGCTGGCTGCCAGCAAGCCCCGGCAGTCCAGCTCCATTGCCCACAGGTGAGGCTGGGGATGTGCGAGCCAAGCCCAGCCTTTTTCAGGGGTGTGGGGATTCAGCTCAGCGGCCCATGCTTGAGCAAGGAGCCCTCCTACCCTCCCAGGCATCTTGCCTCCCCTGTGTTCAGCTTTCCAAACCACGCAGAAGAGCTCGGAAGAACGTGTCCTCTTATTGTCGGATGTGGAAAAAAAGATGGATGGCCAGCCAAACTCCCCAGTCACAAAAACTGAGCCACTGTTAGCAACACAGACTTCCCACCAGACCTCCGACCACTCCCACTCTTCTCACCATCCCACATATTTTGTTCCCTGCAGAGAGACACTCCCTGGGGCAGTTTCCTCGTTCTCCAGATCCTTCTGCCAGCTACAGACAGTGGGTTCTCACGCCATTGAGAAACACCTAGGGAGATTAAAGGGGAGGGGCTTGAGTGTCTTCCACCCCAGCCTGCTCTTTTCCTAGCTTGGATTCTGCCAGAGGCAAGAACTGCAGAGGAGAGGCAAGTGGCAGACAGAGCTGAGGAAAACTAAACAAGACTTACAGCATGGCAGATCACTGCTGAGACTCAAGCCAGGAAGACCTATAGGAGGAGGTTGCGGGCACAGACCTAGAAGGTGTGTGTGTGACAGCACTCGTGTGTGTTTCTTTAAGAGCATATAGTTCACGTGAGTGGGGATTAGCTGGTTTGCTTACTGGCAGGTTTCTGTCCACCCACATGCACCCACCAGAGGCGTTGGTGTCCTTCCCTGACGGCCAAAAGCTCTGTGTGGTTTTGGTTCCCTCCCACGAGACACCAAGCCATCGTCACGGGTAAAGTCACGCGGCATCAGGGTCTGGGCAACATCTCCTTTAGCACGCACTTAATTGTAAGTATAGGGAGTAAGCAATGAGTTTGCATTCTATTGTGAGACTCTTTCTCAAGGAACCTAGGGCTGGGCTGTTGCAGGGATAGAGTGATGGCCCAGTATGGACAAGGTCCTGCCCCCCGCTCCCCACACACACAGCACTCCCAAAGAAAAGGAGGGTTCTAAATTATTGATGTTACTCAGAATTGCTAAGTTAAATGCACTCCGGAGGCCTGGCGGCAGCCGTCCTGCTTGGGAGTTGGTATTCCTGCTGTGCAAGCGCTCTCGTCCTACTGGAGAAGTGCTGGGTTAGTTCTGTCACTGGTGAAGACAGACACATTCAACAGCACTTACTGGGACCCCAACATCTGCTTGAACTTGGGCCATTATGCTGAGAATATCCAAAGAAATGAGACATATAGCTAATCCCTTGAGATTTTCCATAGTAAAGGAAAGAACACAGGAAAAAAAAAAAAGATATTTTATGAAATTTCCATAATTGGATCAGTTTGGAGTTTGTTTACGATCTATACCCTTCCTTGTTATCTTGTCAGCAAATTTACTTTGTCATAAATAAGCAGAAGAATCCATAAGCTGGTTGTGAAAAGTGAAGCTGGATACAGAGAAAGGACAGCAGCTGGGATGTCACAAAGGCTGAGTACTTACCTGCTCCATCCCCAGAGCTATGACAAACTCACACACCCTGTAAAGGCCACAAGAAGGACCTTACCTGACTTGCCCACGCCTGCTCTCCCAAATATGGCCAGTTTGACCTCTGCACTCTTGGCCATGGTACTGGTGGCAGCCTCTAGGGTTCAGAGTCAGTATGTGAGCAGACGGTTTTGGTGGCAGCCTTTAGTTTCCCTGTTCCATTATCAGTCACAGAAGAGGTCACAGTCCTTAAAAGAAAAGAGAGTTGGAATTCTAAGGGATGAGAAATGAGTCCCGTATCTGTGAGACGTCAGGTACACACCAGCCACCCTTTGTCTTAATTCCTTTGCCTGTCACTGTGATAAAATACTATGGCAAGAGCAGCAAGGAATACCCAGTATGGAATACCCAGACATACTTCTATGTTTTGCTGGATTGGATACCCTCAAACACTAAGGCATGTAGTGTGTTTTGCTGTTGTCCACAGTTCAAGACATAGCCCATCATGGAAGGCAGGAAGTCAAGAGAGTAGGAGTGCGAACCAGTTGGTCACATCACACCTACAACTGGAAAACACTAAGGGGTTGATGCATGTTGCTGTCTCCTCACAGTGGGTGGGGCTTCCCATCTCAATGCTATCAAGATAACTTCCTACAGGCATGCCCAAAAGTCCATCTCCCAGGGGATTTCCAGAATTCTGTCAAGTTGACAGTTTTCGCTGACCATCTCACCACCCAAGGTATGGTCTTATAATTTGTTTTTCACCTCTGCCCAGTCAGAGGGCCATGGTAATATCTCACTGTAAACTACTTAATTAGTAAGGTAGAGTTGGGACTTAAGAATTTAGATAGGGGGCTAGAGAGACAGCTCAGCAGTTAGAACACTGGCTGCTCCTCCAGAGGTCCCAAGTTCAGTTCCCAGCAACCACACGATGGCTCACAACCATCTACACTGGGATCTGATGCCCTCTTCCGGCATGCAGGTCTGTGCAGATAGAGCACTCATATATGTAAAATAAATAAATAAATAAATAAATAAATCTTAAAAAAAAAAAGAATTTAGATCTGGGGGCTAGAGGGATGGATCTATGCTCAAGAGCAAATATTGCTTTTTTAGGAGACCTGAGTTCAGTTCCCAGTACCCACATTAAGGGGCTCACAACTGCCTGTAACTCCAGGGAATCCAAAGTCCTCTTCTGGTCTCCACCGGTACTGCAATCATGAGCACTCCTCCCCAAACACACATACGCATAATGAAAGATAAAATAAATCTTAAAAAAAAAAAAAAAAAGAATTTAGCACTGTTTGGTTTTCAAATATGTGTACACATGGTACCATCTCTTACAGTACTTTCTTTAATATGTTTTTATGAATAGATTGTTTCTTGGCATAATCGATAATAAATACTGTGTAAATAAATACATTCACCACCAGCTGAAAATACTCAACCTATAAATGCATGTGATGGGGAAAGACACTGTGGGAATCTCTTTATTGAACAATGTGCCTTCCTATCAGTCAACTCCACTGCCACACAATTTAATTTTTTATTTCGAGGTTAAGTTTCATTTCAGTTCACACTAGGTCACAGGATAAACTATGTAACTGATGCATATGGTTCCAAAGCCAGTACGGAATACCCAGACATACTTCTATGTTTTGCTGGGTTCGATACCCTCAGACACTAACGCATGTAGTGTGTTCCACATTCGGCGTCCCTTTTAAAGAGGATCCCAGGCACTGTTTATAACAGCTGTGATGTCTTGGGTCTTTGTTGGCTGGATTTTATTGCTGTGCTGGGAATTGAGTCTAAGGCCTCACTCCCATGGCAGGCAAACACCTCAGCCACAAGGTACACTCTCATCCCGATACCTGGGCTCTTAACATCAAGGAAATGTAAACTTGGAAAGGGCGTTGGGTGGAGGGCCAAGCCAGGCAATCCCCCAGCTTTTGCAGAAGGCCTTTCCTCTGCCAGCCAGCCATTCTGTGTCTAATTGGCCACTTCTGGGTATTCAAGATAAGTCTGTGTCCTTTGTAAGTAGTGGCATTTGTAGGTGGCTTTTTCCAATTAGGAACCCTCCCTTACCTATTTATTATAATACGCCATGATGTGTCTGTCACTTGGGATGTCCTGATTCTTTTGTTAAAAACAAGTCATTTCTTTCACTCAGGTCTGGTTCAACAGCCGGGCACCCTTAGGATGGTTCCCTATCCTAGCCTTCCACTTTCCAGGGAAGCGAAGGTGAGCTGTAGGTGGATTCTTCAGGAGACACACAGCAAAACACAGGAGACACAAAGTAAAAAACTTGTTTACTTTCTTGACTTTCCCCTCCCCCTCTCCCCATATGCATGGCTGTCCCCAGGCACTTGCTGTTTGACTGACTCTAACAACATGGAGTTCCCTTCTTCAGGCTTGACATATAACCTGAAAGACTGTCACTACAGAGTTCTGGATATATTCGCTGTGGCTGCCCCCAGCAGAGCCAATCATAAGAAGCCCCCCTCCCATCTTTCCCAGGGGGCTAAGGACCTTTCATTGTCTGAACACTTCACTTTTAAGCATGTTAACTCAATGGCACCAGTGTTCAGAATTCACTCAGTGTTCTAGTTTGAAAAGTTATATTTGTGTCAAGCATGGTGGTATACACCTATAATCCCAGAATTTGGGAAGATGTTCAGAAATTCAAGGCCACTCTCTGGTACAGGGCAGCCAGAGCAACCTGGTTTCTTTAATAACCAAAAGGGGGTGGGGTGTGTTTTGAACCACAATCTGTTACCTGAACGTGTTAACTGATCCTGTCTGGATCAGTGTTTTGGATATACAGCTTTTAAAAACAGCCTAAGAAAGGGAAAGAGAAAACAGGCTCCCTCTGAATATATATCCCACAAGAGGAGCTGGTTTCTATTTAGTCTCTTATCATGTATTTGAGCCATCAATGTGGACCAAACACATTTTGTTGTGCAGGTTTCTAAAGTGTGTGTGCTTCTAAGGGAAGAACAGGCCGATGTTTAACATGGCCTTTTCCTCCGTCTCCACACTGAAAACGACAACTTTGTAGACATTCTCAAACTAAGATCTTAAATATCCAACCCCATCCTTTGGCTGTCGATGTATTTCCTTAAGTTCTGGCCTGTAACCCCAGCATTTGGGAGGCTGGAGAGGGAGGATATTGAATTCAAGGCCAGCTTGGACTACACCATGAGTCCCAGGCTATTCCAGACTACCTAAGCAGTATGCCAAAACAAAAACAAAATTACTTATTTGTCATTTCATAGGCACCCACTAAGAAAAGGCCTTATATTTAAGGTTTGAATATGAAATTTGCTAACTATATTTTAACTTATGAATAGATACTGGCTAGCATTTATTTTATTTAAAAAATTTTAATACAAATTCTATTTAACTAAAAAAAATCACATTTATTATATCACTTCCTTCCTTCCATTTTTAAATTTGTTTTCTTCACAATTTATTCATTATATATCCCTACTGAAGTCCCCTCACTCAACTCCCTCAGTCCCACCCTCTTCCCTTTACCCCTTCCCCTAGTCCATTGAAAGGGGGAGTTCTCCGCTATTGCCATCTGCCCATAGCTTGTTAAGTCTCATCAGGGATGCCTGGATCCTCTTCCTCCATGGCCTGGCAGGGCTACATCACCAGTGATCAGAGAGCAGCCAACTGAGTTCCTGATAGAAGCTGCCCCTGATCCCCTCCCTCAGGGATCCACATGGAAACTGAGCTGCCAATTGGCCACATCTGAGCAGGAGGTCTAGGTCCTCTTCATGCACAGTCCTCATTTGGTGCATCAGTCTCTGCAGGATCCCCTGGGCTCAGATCTCACTAGAGAGGATGTGGAGAAAGGGGAACCTCCTTCATTGCTGGTGGGAATGTAAACTTGTACAACCACTTTGGAAATCAATCTGGCGCATTCTCAGAAAATTGAGAATAGCACTACCTCAAGAGCCATCTATACCATTTCTGGGCATATACCCAAAAGCTGCTCTACCATTCAATAAGGACATTTGCTCAGCTATGCTCGTGGCTAGCTAGCATTTCTTTAAACCGTAGAATGTGCTTGTGCCAGGAGCATTCATAAATAATAATTTGCTTTTATACAAAAGTGTCATTCCTGTGTATCTAAAAATCTGCTCTTATTCTTAATTAATGCTTCATAAAAATAAACATCAAATATATATATTTTTAAAAACCAAGTCAAATATTTCAGCAACAGTCACTGGCCTCTGAAGTCCATGGGTTTCACAAATGAGAGAGACATTACGTGAGTTAATTTTTCCCATTTGTAACATAATAAGATCCAGCTGGTAATTGTCAGTCTCATGATGTGCTTTCAAAAATCAAAGTGAAGATGCCAAGCTGACCCCTAAAGATGCCTTCATGTTTTATTTCCACATGAAAATTTGACAGAAGCCATCAACCTGTCAATTGTTGTCATAGCAACCTACAGGCAAGCTTCTGTTGAATTAACTGGAGACCTTCTCGCCTCAGATCTGAGAAAACTCGTTGGTCTAACACATGGAACTCTTCCTTTCATGACCAGGAAGTTTACTCTAGGAGAGAGCTTTACCGGGGGCAAACAAACAGCCAACTTTCAAGTTTCTATCATAAAGTCACACCTAAATATTTAGGAGACTAGAGGAAGTGCCTTTCTTGTGCGCATGAAGTCATTGGAGGAAATACTGGGATAAACCAAAGAAAAGTGTTGTTTTATTTGGTACTATTGATGCATTGACTCACTCCACACTTAAGTATACGCAAACCAAAGCGCCTACCTGTGGGGACTCTTAGACCTATGGCATTTGTGTTTCCAAAGCTTCATTCGTCTTCTTATTTACTTATCAAAAGGTTTTGCTCCTAATAAATCATTTCCCAGACTATGCTTATCAAAGTCGGTGTTTTCCACTTCCTCTTGTTGGGGGTGGGGACGTCTTTATAATTACACTTTAATATTTTTATGACCTCCTTAAACAAACAAAGTGCAGCTGTCCAGGACAGCAACGAATGCAACGTGATGGTGGGAAAGAGATCGCTTCTTTCTGGGCCAGACCTTTCCTGAAATCAGGATTTCTCAGTTTCTCTGCTCGGAATTTTCCTTCCTCTTATCACAACGCAACACCCACTGCAAAGAGGCTGTAATTGTGCAAGCCCCCGGGCTATCTCGCTACCCTGAACTCAACAGGTCTGCAGCCAGGAGCAAGCCCACGGTAGATTGCAGGTCCTGCAGATCCTCCAGATCGCAGGCTCCACAAAAGGAACAGATGTCTCCTACGTGCGAAGGACGCCCTGGGCTCAGGACGCACTGTCAAGCCTGGTGCTGCGTTCACATCCCTCTCGGAGAGCCCCAAAGTCACCCTTGGCGAGGGACCTCGCCACCTGGAGGACTCGACCGGGGTCCGAGCCCTCAGGGAGCCGCACTCTGTCCTCGGGGAGCCACCTGGCCACGTGTGTGTCACTCACCTGTTCACTCTCCAGGCCGGGGAGAGAGCCGCGGTCCCCTCCAAGTTCGCAATCCGGCCTCGGAGACCGGAGAGCCCTCCCACGCTGCCCCACGCAGGCTGCGGGAGGCGCTTGAGAGTCAGGGTCCCGCGGTCGCGGGTGGGAGTCACCGCGGCTGCAGGCGCGGTGCCCGGGAGGGGGTCTCCTCCCTCGCGCTCGCCTAGGCTAGCAGCGGAGAGACTGCGGCAGGACGCGAGCTCCGGCCGCCGCCGCCGCCGCGCTCCGTGGTCGGGATGCTGCAGTGAGACGCTCGGGCGCCCCCTGCCGGAGCCACCCGCGAACCGAGCGCCACACACTCCCGCCTCGCTCCACGCCAGGCTTGCAAAGTCCTTTCTCGATTAAAAAGCATCACTTACGCAGCGTTCTCTACGCCTTGTTTCAAAGGATCTTGCCAATACGCCTTGGGAATGTGTTCGGTTATTCTCATGACATTCAAGAGGAAGCAGAGGATTAAAAAGAGAGAGAGATGGGGAAAATTGTCCAAGGCTGGTAAATAGCTGGGAGAAAATCCGGACCGGATCGGAAACAAATATACTTCGAAAGATGTAAACACAGAATTCAACTGCAATTCATGTTTGTACATATGAGAAAGTCTCCAGAGTGCTCTGTTCTCTCGGCAAGACCAGCATTTATAAGATTTGCCTTAGCATCAAACCCCGCCGAGCTCAACCCCCCCCCCCAACAGAGATAATTAACATGCATGCTCTGCTAAGCTCTGAAAGACCCTTACATCCCCATCCCCTTTGATATTCACCTCCCTAGGGGGAAGCGGGGCTATTGTAATTGCTGGTCTTTCCGTGAGGAAGGGGAGCTTCAGGGAGGTTAAAGGATTCCCAAAGACAGTGACGTGCATGAACAAAGCAACAGGAAATGTCTGTGCCTTGCTTTTTTTTTTTTTTTTTTTTTTTTTTCATTCCAGATCAGGGCTTTCTTACCAGGATATCTGGTGATTTACTGAAAGCCAGGCAACAAGAGCGGACAGGGGCCCAGGGCCATGCAAACAATCTGTGGACCAACCCTGGGGGGAGAAAGGTCACCGTGGAGGCAGGACTTGCCAGGCGGGCAGGATAAAGTGATTGGACCTGCGATGTGTCCTGGTAACGCTCTGAGAAAGCGTAACACACCCCTTCCACCATGAATTTCCTGACCATCCCAACGTCCCCTGCTCTGACCTACAGTGACACTCTCTTCCGTGTCTCACTTCACCACCAGCTTTGTATTTGCTTTGCCTTCACTCAGTCTTCTGCTAAACCTTGAAATTCCAGAGGCTGGAAACCCAGGGAACAAACTGTGTGTGGGTGTGGGGTGCGTGTGTGTTTGGGTGCCTGTGTGGTGTCTGGGGTGTGTGTGTGTGTGTGTGTGTGTGTGTGTGTGTGTGTGTGCGCTCTTCCTCTCTTGTAGGGCCTGCCGCACAATGATCGAATGACTGTAACAAGACAACTTGAGACAAGATACATCTAAATTGTTTATGCGCTGATCTGGGAAGGGCTATCTAATGTGGGCTTGAGGAAATAGGTTCCATATCTGAGAAACAGAGATTTCAGCACCCCAGAATACAAAAAATCTTAAAGCCTACAGTAAGAAGCATCATGCAGATGATGCAGAATTCTAGAAAATTCAAATGTGGAATTTTTGTAGCATTCATACTGTCAAGTTTCAATCTACCTTCTTTTTCCATCATCTTGACCCATCAAGCAGTATTTAATAAAAATGTCTACGCATGATACATATTTACAGTATCTGTGAATATACACTTTATATATAAAACATAACATTTAAAATACATTTTACAGTGACTTAAGTTTGAATTTCCACTGTACCTTTCCTATCTAATTGGTATTTCTGAAGAGGACACAGCCAGGTGTCCTGTGAGCAAGCCTTTATTGTCTTGTCCTGGAGGCTGTTTATCTCTCTTCTCTTGTATAGCCCTCCTCACTCAATAAGAGAGGCTTTAGAGTGCACATCTGCAATTTCTTTTAAATTTTGTATTAGCCTACAAAGAATTAGGTTTCACTGTGGCATTTTCCAAACAAAACTTTTCTTGTTTCTTTTTCCCCCTTTCCTCACCTCCCTCTCTCCAATGTGTCCTCCAACTACTTTCCACTTCCATGCCACACGTGACCTTTTATGCCACACGCACCTCTCTGCTCCCCTTCACAGTTTCCTGTCTCATTTCTCACCTCTTCTTAGAACTCTTCTTTACATTCATATGAATGTTAGAAGTTAGGACCCACGTATGAGAAACAGAGAAAGATTTTTCATCTCTCTGAGTCAGCTGCCTTAACAGAATCCTTTGCACTTCCATCCACTCTCCTGCATGTTTCATAATTTCATTTTCTTGACAGATGACTAAAGGTCCATTGTGTGTGTGCACATTTTTGAGATCTGTTCTCCTGTTAATGGGCACGTAGGCTGGTTCTATGTTCTTGTGACTGTGAATAGAACAGCAGTGGACACGTGAGGAGGTCCCTGCAGGTGTGCGACAGGAAGCCAACCTCATGAAGCGAAGAGAATGAAAACCTGGTACAGAACGACTTCATCAGCCTGGATCAGATGGCAGGGGAGTCTAATGCCAGGCAGCTGGTTCATTGTCGGCATATTTAAAACATACTACAATTTGGGAAAAGGTTTCCAAGCGACAATCAGTCCAACCAGTCCAATTCCAGGTACACAATAAAACTTAAGGTGTGACAACATAAAACTCTTCTACAAAGTACATGTGACCATGAGGGTGAGCTCCGCAGCTAAAAGGCCTAGAATCTAGTATGGTCTCTGACCAATAGCAAAGCGTTCAGCAGGCCATAAAATACATGTGACATCTCCCCTTATGAAAGAGTAATGGTCTAGGGACGGAAGAGTCTGGGATAATCTTTCTAGGGAATTTGGGTGAGGTCTGCCTCTCTAGCAAAAGGTGGGTGCGGTCTGTCTCCACAGATAGCAAAAAAGTCATCCGACTGTTAAGAAAATCCACCCCCGGCCTTCCGGGCAGGAAAACAAGTATTTTATCTCCTCCATTAAGAAGTCCTGCTTCCCCTTAATGCTTCTCTGTGAGTACAAGGACCTTTGTGCCCACCACCAGGCATGGATGTATAAATGTCACGCCTGCAGCTCCGGACACACTGTACCAAGAAAGACGTGCTAGCTCCACCAGAACTAGCATCTACTGTACTGCCTAACAGACCACGTGAGTACAAGGACCTCTGCTCCACGGAATGAGTCCTTTATCAAAAGCTGCAAGGATACCCTCTCGGGTCGTCACAGGAACAGATAGGGTGGCACGAGGCCTGCCTGCTGGGCATTCACTCCTCTGGGGACAGATTTTGTCACACTCCCTGTCTTCCAGACTTAAACTTCTAACTCCGTATTAGCAGATGAAGAGACAGTAAACCTGCAACGTGCAGTTGGGGCTGAAATTGTGTGTGAAGATACTAGATAAATTCATTTTTATAAATAATCAAAGCATGTGGTAAAATACAAACAAGTAGAAACTCACCCCTACGATCATAGTATCCAGAAATGGTCCCTGTTGCCACAAGGAACAATCATGGTGCTAACCACCAGGTCCCACAGAGTGTCGTCTTATTGCGAGGTTTGTCAGGTACTGTCACGCTGAAATGACATTTTCCATTTGAGAAACACGCAGCTAAGCAGGGGAGAACACAGAGCAGTGGGCTTTAGATGTTGATTCATTCCAAGAGCTTCCCCATCCCTAACAATTCCTCTAGAGTCAACATTATTATATAATGCGGATCTGACTCCCTGGTGTCTAAGCCAGTGTCGCTTCCTTCTCTGTCAAATGGCTCCTTGGCTCCTCGCTACTTAAAGGGGGAGGCAACTCCCTTTCTTATGCGCCGGCACCTCTCCTAACCTCCTTTCTGTTTTTGCTGGGGTGTTATTGACTCATTGTCAGGATGTACATCATTTGCGTTTCACTTACAGCTCTCTTTCTCACAGTCATTTAAATGTAGTTCTGTGTTTTAGTGGAAGGAATTCATTTAGTAATTCTATTATCATGGTTTTTCTATTACTGGTTCTTCACTCTGACTCATGAAGTAGTGCTTCCCAGAAGGCCCTGCAGCAACCGTCTGCATATCTGACAATGTCTACCTCTTTTGGTCCACAGTTTATTAGCCTATTTTTGCTTACATTGATCCCATCATCCTCTTTTCTTGTACAGTAGTGATGGCTACTCTTGGTCAACTTGACTACACCTGGGATTAGGTAAACCGGGAGGCTGGGGACACCTGTGAAAGATTTTTTTTCTCTTTCTAAATTAAATCATTTGAAGTAAGAAGATTCACTTTTATTCCTGATCTTTGAGGTGGGAAGATCTTTTACTCTGGGCCACACCTTCTGCTGGCAGCCAAAATAAAGGACGTGGAAGAAGGAAGCTTGCTCTCTGTGCCTGCTTGCTCTCACGGGCAAGTGCATTCCTTCACTGGCATTTAGAGCCCACTTCTTTGGGATTCTGGTGTGTACTGAAGGCCAGCTGAGACATGCAGCCTGGTGGACCAAAAACTACTAGATTTGTGGACCTTCTGTTGGTAGACATTGTTGGACTAGCTGGGTCACAGCCTGTGAGCTATTCTAAAAATCTGTATGCACATATGTATACACATACATACATACATACATACATACATACATACATACATATTCTGGCTTGTTCTTTTTATCAGAAATCATATTGACCCTGGGAATGAAGCTCATTTGGAAGAGGGTTTGTTTTTCTCCAAATACACTCACACTGGGAGGGAATTATGGGGTCAATGCATAATGCTTGCGGACACACAGACATTCATTCACAACACATGCAGTAAAGTTTACCAAGCACTAACGCAGCACAAAAGACAAACAGCAATAATGAAAAGCTAACCTGACAGAGCCTGCTGACAGGCGATCCAGAGCTGGAGTGTAAATGAAATGCAGCTCCAGGGTTGCTGGGGTTGTTTTCATATGCTAAGGATAGTGGGAGAAACAATGGACAAAAATCAGCAAAATTGTAAAGTACTACTTTCGTCTCTGTGTCTGTCTCCAATGAGAAATTGTGGTGGTTTGAGTGAGCTCACCCCCACCCTCCCCCACAGTCTCAGGAACTTGAATACTTCATTCCCGGTTGGCGGTGTTGCTTGGGGAGGCTTAGTTGCAAGAAGGCCTTGTTGCAGAGAGTATGCAGGCTTAGTTTGCCACTGGGGGG